GGACGTCGGGGACGTGATCATGTTCTTCCCGGACATCGGGAACGAGATGATGTCCTCCCAGGACATCGGGAACGAGATGATGTTCTACCAGGACGTCGGGGACGTGATGATGTTTTCCCCGGACGTCGAGGACGTGATGATGTCCTCCCCGGACGTTGGAAACGAGATGATGTTCTCCCAGAACATCGGGAACAAGATGATGTTCTCCCCGGACGTCAGGAACGAGATGATGTCCTCCCCGGACGTCGAAGACGTGATGATGTCCTCCCCGGACGTCGGGATCTAGATGTCGAGGACGTGATGATGTTCAACTCGGGCATCGGGCAGGAGATGATGTCCTCCCCGGACGTCGGGAACGAGATGATGTTCTCCCCGAACGTCGGGAACAAGATGATGTTCTCCACGGACGTCGAGGACGTGATGATGTCCTCCCAGGACGTCGGGAACGAGATGATGTTCTCCTCGGGTCTTCTCAGACATTGGGGACGTGATGATGTTCAACCCGGACGTCGGGAATGAGACAATGTCCTCCCCGGAGGTCAGGGACGTGATGATGTCCTCCCAGGACGTCAGGGACGAAATGATGTTCTCCCAGGACGTCAAGGATGAGATGATGTTCTCCCAGGACGTCAAGGACGTGATGATGTTCAACCCGGACGTCGGGAACGAGATGATGTGTTCCCAGGACATCAGGAACAAGATGATGTTTTCCCCGGACTTCAGGAACGAGATTAAGTCCTCCCAGGACGTCGAAAACGAGATGATGTCCTCCCTGGAAATCGAGGACGTGATGATGTCCTCCCCGGGCGTCGGGAACGAGATAATGTCCTCCCAGGACGTCGGGAACGAGATGATGTTCTCCCAAGACGTCGGGGACGTGATGATGTTCTTCCCGGACATCGGGAACGAGATGATGTCCTCCCAGGACTTCGGGAACGAGATGATGTCCTCCTCGGACGTCTGGGACGAGATGATGTTCTCCCAGGACGTCGAAGACGAGACAACGTTCTCCCCGGACATTGGAAATGAGATAATGTCTTCCCGGACGCCGGGGACGAGATAATGTCCTCCCAGAACGTCGAGGACGTGATGATGTTCTCCCCAGACGTCGAAAACGAGATGATGTTCTCCCCGGACGTTGTGGACGAGATGATGTCCTTCCCGGGCTTTTGGGATGAGATGATGTCCCCCTCGGACGTCTGGGACGAGATGATGTTCTCCCCAGACGTCTGGGACGAGATTATGTTCTCCTCGGACGTCGGGGACGAGATGATGTCTTCACCGGACTTTTGGGACGAGATGCTGTCCTCCTCGGACGTCTGGGACGAGATTATGTTCTCCCAGGACGTCGGTGACGAGATGATGTTCTCCCCGGACGTCGGAAATGAGATGATGTCGTCCCGGACGTCGGGGACGAGACGACGTTCTCCCCGGGCGTCGGAAATTAGATGATGTCTTCCTGGACGTCGGGGACGAGATGATGTCCTCCTCGGACGTCGGGGACGTGATGATGTCCTCCCTGGACGTCGAGGACGTGATGATGTCCTCTTTGGATGTCGGGAACGAGATGATATCTAAGAGTGCCATCATCTCATCACTTATGTTTCGAGCTACTTTCATCTCTATAGATATCCAGGATACCATAATCATTATATTACTGGCGTCCGGTTTGTCATAGTCTCGTCGCCGATGTTTGTGGCGCCCTCATCATGTCAACGATGTCAGGCCTTTTAATGAAAATCCATCTCTCCTGCACTATGAGAACAGAGATCAGACCTTATTTCTTGTCTTTCTTAAGACAAGAAATAACAACTGCAATAAAGGAAGATCGTAAACAAATGATTGATAAACTCAGCGAAAAAAAAACCCAGACCATGGTGCAAATATTGCAGGGACATAATTGGTGACAATGCAAACATTAACAAGATGCTCGCTCCACCGAGTTGCCAGCATTCCTACTCCCTCAAAATAATAGTAAGTGAATGCGAGGTATATCACCATCTGAAAAGAACAGCAAATATGAAATCCTATACTTTGAAAACGTCCTATTCAGATTAATGCGAAAGTTTACTCCCGAACTCGCCATCCCCTCTTCCCCCTTGCTCATCTCCAGTAGTTCCATCACAAAGGGCGTGGTTCCTGTCCTTTGGAAGCGAGCCATTGCAGGTGCGTTCCCCAGAACCAGCTCATCCAACCCTCTTGGCGACCTTCGACTGGATGGTTCCCTCCAGTCGAGTCGTTCATCATCGACCGTGAAAAGCATTCGATCCCACAAAAAAAAAATAATAATAAATAAAATAAAAACACGGGCTGGGTGAAATGGATCATCTCTTTCATCGACTTTCGCTCCAAGAGAACTCGAGCATACAACCAAATATCTGATGAAGTCGACCTTGATAGAGGAGTCCCTCAAGAAGCTGTCCTTGAACCGCCATACTTTGTGATAGTGCTTAGTGAAAATGCATGACATGACAAATAAACTCCAGCGAAGAGAATGCAGATAGATAAGAAGTACATGCCGTTGAAAACTAAATCAAGCAACTGTGAAAAAAAATGATAGTAGTAGTAGTAGTAATATTATAAGTTTATTGCATTACCATCATCATAATGATAATTATAATAGCAATATTGGCAATACTTATAACCTTAATGATGATAAAATGATCATGATAATAATTATAATGATAATAATGATACGGATGATGATAATAATAGTAATGATAATGATGAAATTAGTTATAATGATGATGATGTAAATAGTAATAATGATAATAACAGTCATTATTATAATCGTTATTTTTTATCATTGTTATTACATTATTATTATCATTATTAGCATTGTTATTATTATTATTATTACTATTATTATTATTATTATCATTATTATTATTATTATTATTATTATTATTATACTTATTATTATTATTACTATTATTATTATGATTATTATCATTATTGTTATTATTATTAATATTATTATAATTACTATTATTATCATTATCATTATCATCCTCATTATCATTAATACGATCATTATTACGAACTATTATTGTTATTATTATCACTACTATCATTCTTTTCATCACTACTGTTATTATTGTTATCATTAATACTATCGTTATTATCATTATCATTCCTAATACCATTATTATTATTGTTGTTGTTGTTTTGTTGTTGTTGTTATTGTTATTATTACTATTATAACTATTACTATTACTAGTAGTAGTAGCAGTATCATTATTGTTATTGTTATTGTTGTTGTTGTCATTATCATGACTGTTATTATCATTATAATCATCACTATTGCTGTTGTTGTTGTTGTTATTGTTATTATTATTATCATTACTACTATTACTATCAGTATCATTATCTTTATCATTATTATTATTATTATTATTATTATTATTATTATTATCATTATTATTATTATTATTATTATCATCATTATTATGATAATCATTATTATTATTATTACTATTATTTTTATTATCATCATGATTATTGCTATTATCATAATTATCATCAAGATCACTATTAATTTTATAATTATTATCATTACTGTGATTCTCAATGCTAATATTATGACTATTATTATCATTAATGTTGATACCATTGTTACTATTGTCATTATCATTGTTTTATCATAACTATTATTTTCATGACTATCATTATTATTAACATTGTTACTATCATCATTGTTATTACTATCATCACCCCTTACATTATCGTTGTTCTTATTATCATCATTATCATTATTATTAGTAGTAGTACTACCATCATCATTATTGTTATTATCATTATTACTGTTATCATTATAATGATGATAGTAATAATCACAAAAATAACAATAGCAATAATGTTAATAGTACAATAATATTGCTGAAAATAAACATTTCCCAAAACGATGTCATTTCTGATGATGATGGTGATAATAATAATAACAATAACAATAATAATAATGATAATAGTAATGATAATAATAATAATAGTGATAATAAAAATAATAGTAATAATAATAATAATAGTAATAATACTAGTAATAATAACAATAACAAAACAACAACAAAACAACAGTGATGATAATGATATTATTGATAATGACAATAACAACAATATCAATAATGATGATAATTATAGTAATGATAATAACAATAACAATGATGATAGCACTAACGAAAATAATGATGACAACAATAATGATAATGATGATAACAGTAATAAGTTTTATCATCCACTTGTGAAGACGATAATACTATAGAACTGGCTTATGACTGGACATATTTGGGAATCTTTTTTTTCTTCTTCTTTATTTGTATAATTCTTATCTCCTCACGTTCGCCTTTATAAGGGAATTTTCGACATGCCACTCAACAATTGCTGTTATAGATAATGTGATTTTCCATTATAATGCTTTCTTTTCATTCAATAGGTTTCTAGAATAAATGTGAAATCATTTTGGGGTATGTTTATTTTCAGCATTATCATTATCATTACTATTATCATTATTGCTATTGTTATTTTTGTGATTATTACTATTATTATTATCATTGTCATTATTATCTTAGTAATGTTACGATAATTATTTTCATTATTACTATCATTATTATTATTATTGATATAATAATCATCATTATCAATCGTCATTATCATCATCATTATCATCACCATTATCATTATTAGTATTACCATTATTACTACCATTACCATTATTATGATTTGTAGTAGTATAGTCATAATCATATCATAACTAATTATGTCTATCAGCAGTTACGTTTTCTTAAATTCACATTGCTGTTTTTTGACATGCTCAGAATATCTCACTGCTTAAAAATATGAGTGAAGGATATACTAATGCAATAAATTGTTTTTCCTTTTATATTTGAAAATTTTGGTGATTATTGTATGTTTGCGTGTGTGCTTACGAACATCAGTCCATATAGAATGAATGCACCAATCAAAGATGATAATAATGACAGATGAATTCTTTAGGCAAGGCTCTG